CAACATCAACAAAATAATCCATCACAATATAAAAATCTGAACACTAACATCAAATATCATATTTTCATACATATATATATTTATATATATAGTCCATACATGGATTTTTATGCATGTGAGCAATAAAAATCCAAAATGCACTATCAAGTGTGCATAACCGAAAAAAAAGTATGCACCCACATTTTCATCACTAGCTATCTATCTGTGCATAACTAACAAAAAAATGCCCACCCCATGTACACCATCTAATAGATATATGCAAACAATCCTAAAAAGATGGTCGTAACCCCATGTCAAAATATCTACTGCCCATGCAACAAAAAACTAACCATCAATATTGTTAGCATCTCAAGTGTCACCAGTTGAGGTTTTTGAAATAGCTATAGCTGATAAGGACAAGTCTTCAGCAGTTGGAGATGGCGATGGATGTCGAGTTGGAGCTTTACCAAATTGTTGTAGTTCAAGGGCTATAGTTAGATGCTTCATCATCTCCAACAGGACAAATTGTTGTTGTTCAAGGCTTTTTATTTTCTGTTTTTGTTGATCAAATAAGACGAGCTGCTCCCCCAACTGTTTAATCTTATTTTCTTGTTGTTGCACTATGCACCTTAACTCTGCTTCTGCTGCAGTATCATGATGCTTAGTGTGTGAGAATGCAAAATTTTGTTTAAATCTGGAAGCTTTACCCAGAACTTCCTCACATATTTCTGCTTGTGTTTTTTCACTTTCCCCTGCTTGTGTTTCATCTTGCAGCTCTATCATTTTTTCCCACCATCAATTCAATGCATAATCAATAAGTCAACCAAGAAACTAAATAGCAACATAAAAGAAAGACTACTCAAAGTCCATAGAATATATTACTGCAGCACCAAATAATAATAAAATTTATGGAGTAGAAAAGCAAGTATCTTACAGATTATCAATCTAAACTTCAATTCCCTAGTTTAAAATTTTAAAGTTAAATATTTACATAAGTTTAAAAACAAGCTAACATAAATTAAACAGTTATGAAAAACTAACCTTTCCATACATAAACCCTTAATGAGAATGAAATTCCATCAAAGGGATAAGGTTTCACTCTTTTTATCACATCTTTACAGTGGAAGTACCCAAAATAAATAAAACAAAAGGCTGCTTTTTGACTACATAAACAGATAGGCGTGGCAACAATGACCATTTTCATTCCAAAAGCCATTAATGTATACATCATCATATAAGGAAAACCTTCTAAAGTGTCACCAAATCAGCTTGTGGCAGGGGGTGTTCTTAGATATAGCAGGCCATGATTTAGAGGAAGTGATTGGAGCAAAAAAAGATGAAAAGGCTGACGTTCAAAAAGAAGAAAAAAATGTCTAGCTCAATGTGTCTATACTCCTTGTGGACTAACCTTCTCATCTATATGCAATATACTACAATTTCCACACTAGTCTTCATACTAACAGAGATTCCTCTCATAAGAACATATAACACAAAGCAGAAGCATATTTATGTTTAGGAAAAAAGCTACTCCTTTTCACTACTCCGGATCACAACAAATAACATATAACATAAGAGACCTTATATCGATAATTGAAAGATGATCAACTTACATATATCTCTCTTGCTTGTTCATTAACCCACCCTTTCTCGGCGCTTCAACGAGTGTCATGAAATAATTGTATAGGACCGACAGATTCCCCAAGTTGGTTTGCCTTAACAGTTCATATGGTCATTGACCATAAATTGAAATAAAATTAGTAAACAGGAAAACAAAGTTGCATATTTGTATAGGCGAATAATATTAAATACCTTTTCCTTTTTGTGCTGAATAAAGTTCTTCGAACCACAACGGTGGTTACACCTCATCTTCGACCGGTTCTCAGAATAAGTTTTTGACCGTGCCTAACACCTGTAACATCTACTGAAAACTAGTACAATGCATGCATAATAACAATAGAAAATTGGGCCCAAAGTTTTCTTTTTCATTACAATTCATATGTCTTTTATACACAAAGAGTACTGTTTACAAAAATGCATTTTAAAAGACAAAACAGGGGAAACAGTGTAGCTATTCTCTTCGCTTGCCGACGCCCCTCCGACTGCATCATCACCTAGATCCTGCATCCACAAAGGAAAAATAACGGGGTGAGCACAAAATAATGCTCAGTAAGTAAAACCCTCTATCTGTCTGTCCCCGCATGCACAACTCTTAATTCTTTCCTTTTTCTAATGCTGTTTCTAATAACATACTGGCCTCATCTTACCGGAGGTACTGCCGGATGGCGTTCACACAGCACCATCTCACTCTCTATGGCTATCGGGTGGAATTCACATAGTACCAACCCGTTCTTAGTGACTACCGAATGGGGATCACAAAGCACCTACTCGGTTTTCTTAACTATCGGGTGGAGACCACCTAGCACCTACCCGCTTCTCATGACTTTTGGGTAACGATCACCAAGCATTAACCCGTCTCTAGTCACTATCGGGTGATGGTCACAAAGCATCAACCCTCTTCCCTAAATGTTGGATGATGATCACAAAGCATCAACCCTTATCTAACAACTACCGGATGGTGGTCACAAAGCATCCACCCGTTTCTACTACTCATCGGTGACGATCACAAGCATCGACCCTCTCTAAGGCTATTCGGGTGGTGATCACAAAGTATCAACCCGATTCCCATAACTATCGGGTGATGATCACAAAGCATCAACCCAACTATACTACTCTTCTAATTCACTCTATTCTAACATTCTTCAATTCTCTCTACCCTTAAGGTAGTTATACCCCCAAGCTCTCTACTCATAGGGTAATTGCATACACAATTTTCCTACACTTTCTTAGGTCACTTTTCCATGTACAACTAGTGTCTATGGATGTTCATCACTACCAATGCACTTATGAAATGCCAACATGCAATGTTGCAAGAATTAAGGTTCAATACTCACACTCAACCTCTATTAGGCATTTCATCAAACTCATTGCACTATGAAACTCTATTATAGCAATGATTCTAAAACTTTTTCTAACCATCCAAAATGGGGAAAAACCCCTTCACATGACCATAGAACCTGTCAAAGAAAGCACTTCTAAAAAGGGTTCCATAACACCCCTTCAATTCCATCTCAAACACCTTGCCAACCCACAACTCACTTCTCAATTTGCAGATGTAAGCATTTAAGGCATAGAAACCTCTATTTAAACCTCCATACATGGCATATTATATGTACATCACATACTATATCATGTCTACAAAACCCTAATCAAGAAACATAAATCTCAACTTGGTTGGGTTTTACTTACCTAGTTATGGAGAGACTTCACAATTCTTCCTTTCACTTGTTTTGCTTGACTTTTCCTCTACTCTTAGGAAGCCTTAGGGTGCTTTTCTACCCCAAATCACTTCAAAAACCCCTGGAATTCCTTGATCAAAGAAAAGAGAAGTTGAGAGGAGTAAAGATGGAGAGCTACGTTTTTTGAGAAGAAGAATGAGGGTTTTCTAATTCTAATTCCTTTTAATGAAATATATACACACTCTTCCCATTTTTTTGCCCTTACTCTTCTTTGGGAATTCCATCTATATCCTTTGATTCATTACAAACTCACCCCCATAACAACATATTCTCCATGAAAAATCCTTACAATTAACTCCCCACTTTTCCTGCTAATTAGGGGTAGAATGGTCAAATAGCCCTTAGGGAAGAAAATATCTAAAACTTAACCAACATTTTAATCAGCCTGTCGCCGCGGCGAAGAAACTTCTGTCGCCGCGGCGAAACTGTCCAGCAGCTTCCCCGTGGCTTCAACACCTCTTCGCCGCGGCGAAGACTGAAATACTAAACTTCTTCTATTTTCAACCAATTTCAGGGCAAGCATTCAACACAACACTCAATCAAACAATATTACCAAAAATCAACTCAAATAAGAGCGAAAGAAGAAACAACAAATACGTACCTCAAGTGGGGCGTTACAACACCACAAAATTTAATATTAAAATACAATACAAAAATAATAACATTAAAAGCCATGTTGACCTTACTTGAAAATTTTCACTAGAAAAAAGGTCACAAAGATATATCCAATCATCGGGATCTTTAATTTCTTCAGGTCTATTCTGTAATGCTTCCTCCTTAGTAGCATATGCTTTGAATTTCTTGTGTAGGGCACTCCGAAAGCTGTTGAATCTCTTACACAGTTTGTGCTTCAGCCATTTGAGTACATAAGGCTCTGTGACATCAATGTCAAACTTGGTCTAAATTCAGCAATAATGTACATGCATTAAACTTATATGGGTATTATATATTATTTTCATAAGGAAGTATGACAATATGGATAACGATATGAAAGACATTATCATGATACGAGCAATCATTTGTTTTTTCACATCGTAGGGAACTTTCTTCCAAGTAAGCACTCTAGCGGGGGCATAGTTCCTCGCAACTATTCCTACCTTAGTACTCAACTTTGATTCATTTACTCCAGTAGGTACTCCATCTTCTTTTTTAAAGTCTACATGCAACTTCGACTTCGCTGTTTGTATGAGTCTTTCACATCCAACTCCTCTAGTCTTCCCTCTCACGTTCTTTGCCACAATATTGCCTAACAAAATCAAAATAATGCATCATTAGTAAATAATATGTTATCACAAGGACTGTTTACATGTTGGTAAAGTAAATTGGATTCTTAAATTTTAAACAAACATTGGAGACAATATCTAAAATCCAAGTATATATTATAGTATGCTTATGTTAACCAATATCATAACTTTACTAGTGTTTGCAGCAATTTCAGGAGTCGGTTCAGCACTTTGATTCATTCGAACAACCTTTGCACGTCTAGCTAGGGTCCTTCTTGTACCAGGAGCCATCTTTGGAATCTACAAACATCAACATAAGAGAAAAGATACCAAGTAACATTTAAGTCACTTTATACAATTAATCTCATGAAATTAGATCATTAACTATGTTTAAACATACACAAAATTAGTAAAGAGTACATATAAACATACAATCATACCATCAGAAGTTGTTATCAGAATCACTCATTAAATCATTTTCATTCTCAGTACAATAATCAATCAACGTATCATCTTCTTCTTCAACATCAACATTGACATCATCTCCAACATGTGTAATTGTTGCATCAACCAAGTTAGGATCAACATCATTTCTAATGAAATGTCCTTGGTCAAACTCATCTTCTTTTACCGGAACAACATCCTTCTCTTCTTCACTTGTGTTAATGTGCAATGTGCAAACCCATTAACTTTCTAATAAAAAACTGAATTGTGTGGCCAATTTGCAAAGCCAAATTGGTTTTATAAGAGTTTGTTGTTAGTATCTATTGATTCAGTTTCATTTTCAGTTTTTAACTTTTAGAACTGAATCTGTAAAGTCTCTTAATAAATAAGCTTGATAATATACATCGTATAAATAAATTGACACGGTACCTTTTGACAGCTTATCAACTCAAATTTCAATTAATAACACAATTACAGAAACAGAAACCATCAAACAGAATTAAAACCCCATCAAACAGAAAAGCTGGAGACTATTGTGTACAAGCTCAAAATCAGTACACTATTACCAAGAAAAATAAGATGGTTTCTATTTTACTGATTATAACTTTCAACATCATTTTCAAAATAAACAAATCTATGTTACTTATTTTTTAATACTTTTATAATTCAAATAGGAACATAGAAATGTTTATACTTAAAAGTTATGACAAGTTTGTGTCTGTTTTCGCAGCATACCCTGCCTCTAATATTATAACATTTAGATCCTTTAAGGTCTTGTAGATTTCAACCGACTGGTGATGGGATTGATCTCCAGCAACAAATACATGGACACATCCATCCATCTCAACCTGGCTCCAACCAGCTTCTTTTACTAATTGTTTATCATTTATCAAGCCTCTTGTTGTAGCTACCTCTTTCCACTTGCCCTCAGATGTATACAAATTTTCCATTAAAACATAATTGTCAGTACTTTGAGGGCTTAAATTTATCAACTTTCTAGCTGCAAGTTTTCCCAGCTCAATATTGCTATGTTTCTTGCATGCACTAAGTAATGGAGCTCATACTTGAGCTTGTACTTGGACAGGCATCTCTTGGATTGTTTTCAAAGCCAAATCAAACTGACCAGCTCTACCAAGAAGATCTACCAAGCATACATAATGCTTTATGCTGGGTTCTATTCCATACTCATTCTACATACTTCGAAAATACCTTAATCCATCTTCTACCAATCCGGAATGGGTGCACACCGATAATAAGCTTGTGTAAACCACAGCATTTGGCTTTATACCTTCTACTTGTTGCATCTTATGAAAGAGACTAAAAGCCTCATCTCCCATCCCATGAATGGCATAGCCATTTATCAGAGCACCCCAAACAGCCAAGTCTTTATCTGACACCCTTTTAAACACTTCTTTCGCCTTTTTTATGCTCCCACATTTGGAGAACATATGTATCAAAGAGGTCAGAACTTGCCTACTAGACTCTAGCCCGTTTACCAAAATGTACTCTTCAATCTCCTCTCCCATGGCACGTGATCCTAAATCAGCACAAGCTGAAAGTATTGTAGCCATGGTTGCTTCATTGGGTCTAACGAATGTCTTCAACAACCTTTTAAATAGATTCAATGCCTCAGTAGGATAAGCCAACTGAGCATACCCTCCAATCATGGATGTCCACAAGAACACATTTTTCTCTTGTACCATATCAAATACTCTTTGCGAAGACTCAAGGTCACCACATCTTATATACATGCTGACCAGCAAATTGTCAATGGGATCTTCATCCTTGCTTCCACATTTCAGTACAAGAGAATGAACCAAGGAGGCTAACAACAAATTCCCTTCTTGTGAACAACCCGAAATGAGTTTCAGAAACACTATTAAGTTTGGTTTCAGACTAGTTCTTCTCATTTGGTTGAACACACCAAATGCTTCACCAACTTTCACAACATTCACAAACCCACCAATAATTATTGCCCATGAAATAATGGAACTTTCTCCCATTCCATTAAAAACCAGACGCGCTTTATCAAGTCGACCACATTTAACATACATTTTCATAACAGAGTTAGCTAAAGGTATCTCATTACTCAACAGTCCAAGTTTAAATACGCAACACTGTATTGATAAGCCTAACATGCCAATAAGACCTCTAAGTGAACAAAGAAAGGACGTGTATAATAATGGCACCAATTCACAAGTTATCAAACAAAAATCAAGTATTTCAAAATCAATGCAATGTCAGTACATGAAAATACATCAGCTTCAAAATTTTTTTAAATAAGATTCAATGTTACCATGTGAGAGAACTAAAGAATCAAAATTTGTACTTATGGGAGGTTAGGGATTGCCTCGTATTGGATTAATGAAGGAAGCCAAGAAGATCAATTGAAAGATGAAGATGCATGGAGAAGAGATGACGTCAGGTTCTGCATTTCAGAAATTTAGGCAGCAGCAATTAAGATGAAGACGCAACAGATTTAGATCAGTGACCTGTTTGATGATATTATCCGTTTGAGATCGATCAACATCATTTGTTGTAGACAAAACTCTAGCTAATTTATGCTCTCTTGATTCTTCTCATATAGAAAATTTAACCCATAAGATACAAGTTGATAAGTGCTTGAAAATACACTTATAATTAGTGGTTTATAGGTATCATTTGTAAGAAATTAGAATTAATTCGCATGAATTAACTTAATTGTTTCATAAACGCACTTTTCGGGATCACGGGTATTTTTTGTTGTGTTTTCAGGAAATAAGGATCAAAAATAATATTCGGATGAGAGATGATGTTGGCGAGATAATTTGTGACGACTGGAAACAAACGGATCGAGAATCGGAGTTGAATTGAAGAAGTTATGGAAGTTGAAGTAAAGAGAAGATTCTAGATTACGTTCCAGCTTGAGCATGCCTCGGTATTTTGAGAATATCTTGAGATGTAGAACTCTTATTAAGAAAATTCTTGGACTATTGGAAAGCTGATTCAAAGGGCTACATTTCATATATTTACCACTTTCCAAAATCCATCGTTATTGAGTCCAAAAATCACTATCTCTGAAGAACAGTGGAATTATGCGGGAAGAAGACCTGTAGCTACTATGCCGCGGCACACTTTTTCCAGTAGCTACTATGCCATAGCATAGTGTCGCGGCATAGTCACGATAGCTGGGAACTTCTCCTTTGTTTTTTACTAGGAAAATAGGGTTTTAAGAGTCCTAAACTAACTAGAATTAAGGAAAACAAAACCCTAACCCTTGTGGGATATAAATAGAAGTCTTTTATCATTATTTAAGGGGAATTTGTTTAGAGATAAAAAAAGAGAGAACAAAGATTATTCAAGAACTGAAGAAAAAGGGAGATTAAAGAAGGCTTGGAGAAGAAGAATTGGAGGAGATCATCATCAACTTCATTAATCCAACCAAGTTTCACTAAGTTTTTCTTCTTCTTTGTTATCATTATTTGTTATGAATAATACAATGATGTTCTCATATTTATTCATGAAGAACTAATTCTTTTGTGACTGAGGGTGATTTCAAAACCCTAGACATGTCTTGTGATTAATAAAATATGTATATATTTATCTTTTGATCCCTCTTGGTTATGTGATTATTTCTTTGTGAATAGGGTTTAGATAGATTGTCTTAATTGTTTAAGTGCGCAATTAAATAGTTAGGATTAATTTATTAATGCCAATTTAGGTTGTTTAGTACGGAATCTCTTTATTAACCTAAATAACTAGTGGTAAAGTGTATGCCTGCATACATGGGGGGTAATCACTCAAGATAACTAAACCGACCATATGAGTTTAGCCTTGATTCAGTAAGTCTCTCGTAACTTAATGCTTTTATTATTTTGAATCTAGAGATCGTATCCTAGGTTATCTAATAAATAGGGAATTGGGTTATGACCATGTCTAATCCAACGACTCAGTAAGGAGAGATAGAACTTATCAACGTTTGGTATTTTCTGAGCTGATGTGATTAAGAGGGTAAAAAGTTAAAGAGTGCTTTTATTATATATAATTCATGTCTAGTGGTGGCGAATAAACCTTCAATCTAATTGATGAAGAAGAAGAGAACATACAAGAAGAAACCTTGAAAGAGGCAGAGAATCTATAAGCATAAAGAACAATAGGAGCTATAACCGTAACACATAACATTAGCAACACCAAATTCTTGGTCTTCATTTTGGTTTCAGAAGCAAAGAAGCACTTTTTGGATCTTTCTTCTTGAAGAAATCAGCCTTCGTTGGTTTCAATATAAAGGGAATTTCATCAACAACAACATTATTGTATAACACACATACCAATCTTTAAGATTCATCACCTATTTTTAATCTCTAAAAACTCTCTGCCTTCTTTTTCTGGGTTCAGAAGTAAAGCAGTGGGATTTTGTAATGTTTTATATGTGGTGTGGAAAAATGGAGAAGAAGATGTGAACGGAGCGGAGAAGTGGAGAGTGTTTTACGTTTTAGGGTAAAATTAGTTTGGGGATTTTGTATAACTGGGTTTACTATCTTTTTAATTTTTTTTTAATTTTAAGTTTCAAAAATTTCTGTGCAAAATTGTTCACTTTTTTTTTTATTTTACCCTAAAACCGGGTTTGGGGTTTTGTTTTTCTTTAATTGTAAGGATTTAGGGAATTTTTAATTTGTTTACTTTTTAATTTTTTTTTAAAAAAAAATTGGAAATTCAATTTTTTGTATTTTTGTGGACCACAATCGAACGATTTCCCAGATAAACGAAAAACTAGTTCGGTTCCCGGTTAGATTCAGTTTCTATATTTTTCTAAACACCCCTACATTTGGGTGTTCTAGATACACCTCGCCAAAACTCACTGAAGTTAACAATCTCCGTTGAAATAGGCACGGAATAAGCACCAAAGTTAGTGAGCAAGTCGTTGTCTACTGAACGAGAGTGGTAGAAACTAGAATTGTTGTTCCAGTGCCGGAAGGAGGTCGACTATGAGGGTTTGTAAAAATGAGGGAAATAGCGGTTAAGCAAAAGTTTTAGGGAAAAAATGGTAATGTCAGATGAAAGAGAAGACAAAAATAAAATCAAACACCATTCGTTTATTAGTAACAATAAACAAATTTAAAGCACCCATTATGAAGTTAAAGCCACCCATTTAGGAACGTCACTAACAACAGATGCTTAAACAAATTAAAACAAATGTTGTGAAGAAACTGATTGAAAATCAAACAATAAAATTGAAATACCATCTGTAAAAGAATGAGCTTTGACATAAAAATAAAAAATAAAAAGGTTACCTTCAATGGGGTAATGTATGGGGGCAAAGTAGAATCAAACAATAAAATTGATTTTGGTTACTAGTAGTATATATTATTTTTAATAAACAATATTTAGTGGCTAACATTTTGGTTGCAAAAAAAATCCTATTAACAACTACAACTTTAGTTGCCAAAATAACATATCCAAAATTTCAATTTATTTCAAGCGAGAACATGAGGCGCTCAAATTTACCATACATTTGGAAACTAAAATCTTAGTTGCCAAAAGAAGATAATTTGCAACTAACTAATTAGTTACGCAACAGTAATTTTAGTCAAAAATTAAAATAATATTTTTTCATTTTACCGGGAAAGTTGGGGTGAAAAACATTCATCAACTTTTAGTGACTAAATACATTTTAGTTGCTATCCGTGAGTTTTTGCAACTATTTGTAATATGCACAAAATAATTAGTTGCCAAATGTACCATGGGCCCTTTGTAATTATTGTCAGAAGCTTGGATATTTCGGTAATTGTATTATTTTGTAACTAATAAAAATAGTTACAAATTAATTAATAAATATTTGCATCTAATTTAGCAACTATTCAGTAGTTGCAAATAATTCTTTTCTATAACCATAATTTTAGTTGCAGAATCCCTTGTTGTAGTTGCCAATTATGTTCGCGCAAGGATTGGCAACCAAATAAATTAGTCGCTAATGTGATATTTTAGGCAACAAATCAAATTTGTCACAAAATATTAATTTTAGACGCTAAAGGCGAGAATAAATGGGCCCTAGAATTTTATTCCCTTTGGCCGACTAATTGGAATTTAGTTACTAAATGTGGGGTATCTGCAACTATTTTTGCCTAGTTGCAAAAAAATTGGTTGCAAAAAGTACTTTTTCTTGTAGTACAGGTTTGACATTGATTTTGGTGAGTTTTGTTCCAAATTTTGGTGGCTTAGAAGAGATGTAGAAGTGTAGCCAATTTAGAGTTTGTGTGTGCATATAAATTGTTTGATGAAATGTCAAAGAGAAGTGCATCCATGAGTATGATTATTTGTTATCTTGAGATGAGTTTGTAGATGGTAGAGAATGACATGTTCACATTCCATATTGGACTATTGCATCCAAACATGTGAATTTAGAAAGAATAATAAGCATGAGCCCATCTACATGCATACATACTCATAAGAGCATTAAAGAGCATTAAAGAACAAATAGAAAGAAATGAGAAATATTAAAGAACACTTTTAAAGAAGAGAAGAGAAGGTTGTTACGATGTGGAACTCGTGAATGACCTAGCCCCACATACACGCCGCCTTTAGTGAGCGGCCTCAGAATCAGAAAGAAGAATTGTATAGTCTGTTAGAAGTGCATGTGGATGAGGACTGTACCCAGAATTAGAGAATACACTCACACGGCCAGGGTTTTGAATCTATGCCTCAACTGAGTCCAATCGGCAAGAAAGAAAAGAATAGAAAGAATAGAAAGAAAGAATAGAAAAGAAGAGAAAATTGAAACAGAAAAACAGAAAAGAAAATGCACATCCTATGCATTTGAGCATTTGTATCATACCTATGCATGACACCATACCTACTGTCATGAGTAGTGAGAAATTAGAAAACTGAGAAAAAAGAACAAAGAAAGAAACGAGAAGAGTAAAAAAGTTTGATGTAAGGAAAGAAATTCAGAATATAAGCAACGAAGAGAGAAGAGTAGCATAGCAGGTTTACTTACTGAGCAATTAGTGCTCACCCTGTTGTTTTAATGTTTTTGCAGGTAGTAGAAGAGATTGCGGTCACTTGGAACATCAAGAAGCGGAAGGGTTTGGCAACACTGTCGAGTTGATGTTTTGTGACTTTATTACATGTAAAGATTTGTATATAAAGAAAAAT